CTCTGTGTGTATGTGCTGTACATGTGGAAGAATTGACAATAAAGCAGACTTGACTTGAACTTGAACTTGAACATTGTAAACTACTGAAAGAAATTTCCCCACTAAGTGGGGAAATTCTTTCAGCACTTTCTCTAGCCTTGATCAAACCATCTAATACTCCTGCACGTCAAAATCTAACAATTTATTGCCTCATCGTGGATGGAATTGTTGAAAATACTGCAGTTCTTCTAAAACCCCCATCATATCTGTAGATGATGTTGTCAACATGAACATTCTTTTATTTATGCAGCACCACAACACCACAAGGACTAACAGGATACTGTTGAATTCTAAATTGAATTCTAATAATTTTTAAACATATTCAGTCCCATGTGTTTAGGAATAACTGACTCTGGTCTGATCAACATGAAACTATATGTAAACACCTCTCGGACAAACTACTATTTCCTCAATAGTTATACAAATGAATCCTTTTGTCATTTAGAAAGCACCTTTAGTAACTTGCAAAGTTACCTTTAGTAACTTGCTTTAGTTACAAAATGACTTCAGAATCAGTGTCTCTCCAGTATTAATGATTTTGTAGTAAGACATCTGGTTACACTTCTTTCCAGAAAAAAAGATAAGATTTTTATAGTCTTAAAAATGTTTTGATGTAATGACTTGTGCTTAAATGATAGTGAAGGAAAACAAGTGCTTCCCAGGATGCACTTCATGAATGTCTTTATATATTCTTTTACACATTTCCAATATAGATTCCTGCATTTTCTTCAACGCTAGTGTAAAAATCATGCCATGTCATTATTACTCACACAAACAATAAAAAATGATAGATAGATAGACAGACAGAAAGACAGATAGACAGATAGATAGACAGATAGATAGATAGATAGATAGATAGATAGATAGATAGATAGATAGATAGATAGATAGATAGATTTCAAATTCCTCATGTCCATTCAATTCAAGTTTATTTGGGATGTTAATCCCATGGCAAAAAACAGAGAAACAAACAGAGACATAATTAGCGTAGCTGCTGTTCCAACCAAGCAAAATTGATTTGTTTAACCCAAGCTAATGAAATAATAATGTGCATTTGATCAGATATAACTGCAGTACAAGATTATGAGATGCATTATTTGAATGCTTGGCCAAAGAGATGTGTCTTTAATCTAGATTTAAACAGAGAGAGTGTGTCTGAACCCCGAATGTTATCAGGAAGGCTATTCCAGAGTTTGGGAGCCAAGTTGCTATCTAATATAACACCCAGATTTTTGACTGTAGAGGAAGTAACAGTACATCCATCTAGTTGCAAATTGTAATCCAAGAGATTCTGTGTACTGTCTTTTGGTCCAATAAGTAATATCTCTGTCTTATCCCAATTTAATAGGAGAAAATTATTGGTCATCCAATCTTTTACGTTTTTAACACACTCTGTTAGCTTAGATAATTTAGAAGTTTCATCTGGTCTTGTTGAGATATATATTTGAGTATCATCAGCATAACAGTGGAAACTAATCCCGTATTTTCTAATAATATTACCAAGGGGCAACATGTATATTGAAAATAGCAGAGGACCTAGGACCATGTCCATCTTCTTTCAGGATTACCTGCATAATAATACTATCAATGGCACAAAGCATGACTGAAGACTGTTTTCCAAGAAAAGGCAGCTCTACTACTTCTGGTAACCGATTGCACATTTCTTTCTTCCTGATATAACATGTGTTTGCATGTTTTTAAGTAACACTGTCGTTTAAGTATGGTGGCTTGGCATAATGCTCACAGGTTAGTCATTTAAACTATACGCTGTAAGCAGAAACTTAAAAAAGAAGAATAAATGGCCTTTGCACTATTTTGCACAAACACAGTGGCACAAAATCTGCCTGCATTGAATTTCCTGTCTATTTTTTTTTTTTTTTTGATGATGGCCTTATTGCCTTTGACTGACAGCTAAAATGTACACTACTGGCTGTCTCCAGTCTGAACCTTTCAAGTCATCCTAATTATATGGACTTTCTCTGTACTCTTATTATATCGCACATGATGACAGTTCTGAAAGGCTTAGAAGTTAAGAGTGTAGTCGATAATTCTGTCATAATTGGACCTGGGTTTATGTGAGTGTAGCATAGCCTCCATATTCAGCATCAGTGTTAACTGGTGGCGTTTGGTGACACGGTTTTTACATCCCAGTCGCTTCAAATGTCTTCGTGCACAGAAATGGTAAGTAGCTGAAATTAATTAGGCAAGGTTTTCATTTATTTTAAGCCATTTGATCACCAAACCAGATAAAATATAATTTATTACGAAATAAATTTGATTTATTCTAAATATTTTTTTTTCAGTCATCGTCGAACCATCACTGTCGGAGTTTGAGCGAGAAAAGGTCTGTTTTGGCATTAAGGTGTTCATCGCTATCATCTTTACTCATTTGCGCGCGCTGCGCGACGGAAATTGTGGACCGACAAATGCTAAAGGTGTTTATGGAGCTCGCAATGACGGAGAAAGAAACATCAAGAACAGTGATAATAATTTTATTTAACACGTTTATATTGCTATAATAACAAGTAATGAATATGACGATTAAAAATATGTTTTGAACGAGATAAGACGATATTTAACGTTATTTCTTCTCGCAGGTGAATGGATTTACGTGTCATCTGAAATGTTTGCAGTGCTCGGTGTGCGGAGAGTCCTTGAGTCAACATTACAGCTGCTTCATCAGAAATAAAGAGATTTTCTGTAGAACGGATTATAACAGGTAAAACCATAGGCTATATTTACATTTATGGTGTGCTGACAGCATGCTGCCAATGCGGCTTAATACATTATAGATGCAGTAAATGTACATAATTAACTACTTTATAGAAAGCAGAAAACTTTCAGTTAAAATTAATTTTTTATTTATAAAAGGAAAAAGGTTTAATTTTTAAATTATTGCTGCTTTTTTCATTATTTTTCAAATGAAAGTGCTGCTAGAGTTACAACCTGCAACCTTTGAATTACAAAATGGTGAAACGTTTCTTACCAGCAACAAATTTTTTTTTTTTTTTTCAGTAATTTTGGCATAAAATGTGCTCGATGTGGCCTTCAAGTCAGTGCAAATGACTGGGTTCGGAAGGCAGGAAAAGATATATATCATCTTGCCTGCTTCGCTTGCTTCATCTGCAAAAGGCAGCTTTCTACAGGAGAAGAGTTCGGCTTGATGGAGAATCAAGTTCTCTGTCGTCTTCACTACGACATAATGCTGCCAAACCTACAGCACATGTTAGACAAAGGTAATTTCGATTCTCTCTTGGATATGTGTACATTAACAATCTGCTTTCGATTATTTTATATATAATACCAACCGAAAAGGACATTAAATCAGTATCTTACATGTTAACTAGAAACAACAATCTCTAATAGGCTACACTGAGGGACATTTAAAAATGAAAGGCTATCTGTATCATAACAGGAAATATAATACATTTGGATGGAGCCATACCCATACAATACCTCCCAAAGCCATCAAAAAGACCTCGTACATCATTCACCTCGGAGCAGCTACAGGTACACTTTTTCTCCACCTGTGATAAAAGCGGACTGTACATATCAGAATGGGCTTGCATGTGTATTTGATTTATACA